GTATATATATATTTATATATATATATATTTTTTTTTTAAATTTTTCCTCATCCCAAGTAGAAGAGGAAAGACAAGGTGGTTTTTGTTGTTGTTGTTTTACTTGTTTTTTTTTTTTTTTGGACACAGGGTCTCCCTCTGTCACCCAGGCTGGAGTGCAGTGGCACAAACAGGGCTTACCTCCAGGGCTCAAGCAATCCTCCCACCTCAGCCTCCCAAATAGCTGAGACTGCAGGCCAGTGTCACCTACCCACCCATACCCCACTATTTTTTTTTTCTTGGGGGGAAGAGATAAAGTCTCACTATATTGACCTGGCTCATCTTGAACACCCGAGCTCAAGCTGTCCTCTCACCTCAGCCTCCCAAAAACTCTGGGATTACAGACATGAGGCATTGTGCCCAATCAAGACAAGACTTCTTAATGGGTACATTTATTTCATTAACACTCAGGAATTCAGAGTTTTTTGGGGATTTTTTTCTCTTTTTTTTTATGGCACTCACAGAAATGAAAAATGGATGAAGTCAGTCTCTCTTCCACTTGACTTGATTTTTCTCACTTTGCAATGGAAGGCTTAAGATTTTCTTTAATTTTTCTCACTATCTTAATCGTCCTATAGATTTACCATAAATGTTCACTGCCCTTTTCCGATAAAAATTTATGATTTTTTTTTTTTTTTTTGAGACGGAGTTTCACTCTTGTTACCCAGGCTGGAGTGTAATGGCGCGATCTTGGCTCACCGCAACCTCCGCCTCCCGGGTTCAGGCAATTCTCCTGCCCTAGCCTCCTGAGTCGCTGGGATTACAGGCACACGCCACCATGCCCAGCTAATTTTTTGTATTTTTAGTAGAGACGGGGTTTCACCATGTTGACCAGGATGGTCTCGATCTCTTGACCTCGTGATCCACCCGCCTCGGCCTCCCACAGTGCTGGGATTACAGGCTTGAGCCACCGCGCCCGGCCTATGATTTTTTTTTTTGAGACAGAGTCTTGCTTTGTCATCCAGGCTGGAGTGCAATGGCACAATCTTAGCTCACTGCAACCTCCGCCTCCTGGGTTCAAGCTATTTTCCCACCTCAGCCTCACAAGCAGGTAGGACTACAGGCATGCACCACCACATCTAGCCAATTTTTGTATTTTTTGTAGATACAGGGTTTCACCATGTTGCCCAGGCTGGTCTGGAGCCCTTAGGCTCAAGCAGTCCTCCCACCTTGGCCTCCCAAAGTGCTGGGATTATAGGTGTGAGCCCACACCCAGCCTGGTTCTGCTTTTCATTGGACAAATATTTATTGAGCATTTACTGTATGTCAGGCATAGGAACAGGTAGATATACTTTGGATTCTTACTATTCATGGATTCCGTACTTGTGAATTCACCTACTTTCTAAAATTTATTTCTAAGCTAAAAATCTATACTTAGGGCACTTTCAGTCATTCATGGGCATGTACAAAGCAAAAAGCAAAAAGTTTTGAGTCATTCAACATTCACATTCCCAGCTGATACTGAACGAGGCAACACTCTGCCTTGTTTCAGCTCTCATACTGTAAACAAGTGGTCCTTTTCACAGTCTACTTAATGCTGTATTTTTTGCATTTGTGCTTTTTGTGGGTGATTTTGCTTTTTATAAAATGGCCGCCAAGTATAGTGCTGAAGTGCTGGTTCCTATTCCCGGGCACAGGAAGGCTATGATATGCCGTGCAGAGAGAAGATGGATTAGATAAGCTGTCTTCAGGCATGAGTTATAGTGCTTTTGTCGATGAGTCTGAAATTAATGAATCAACAATGTTAAATTAACAATATTAAATGAGATGACTTTTTCTCTTTTTTTTTTTTTTTTTTGAGACAGGATCTCTCTCTGTCATTCAGGCTGGAGTGTAGTGGCGTAATCACAGCTACTTGGGTGGCTGAGGCATGAGAATTGTTTGAACCTAGGAGGCAGAGGTTGCAGGGAGCTGAGAAGACACCGCTATACTTCAGCCTGGGTGACAGAGTGAGACTCTGTCTCAAAAAAAAACCTGGCAGGGGAATTAAGGTGGCAAATTGATTAAAGTTGCTAATCAGACGACTTCAGGAGATCATCCTGGATTATCCAGATGGTCCCAATATAAACAGAAGAGGACTTTAAAAAGTGGAAGAGAAAGGCAGAAGAGTCAGCAGGAGACTGATAGTAGAAGAATGGTCAGAGAGATGCAGCATTACTGGCTCCGAAGGTGAGAGAAGGAGGTCATGATGCAAGGAATATAGGCATCCTCTGGAAGCTAGAAAGGGCAAGGAAATGGATTCTCCCCAAGAATCTCCAGAAAGGAACACAGCCCTGCTGACACCTTGATTTTAGCCCAGTGAGACCTGTGTAAGCCTTCTCTCTTACTGAACTATAAAATAATAAGTTCGTGTTTAAACCATTAGGCTTTTGGTACTTTGTTACAGCAGTCAAAGGAAACTAATGCGAAGCACAATGTTCTTTTTAACTAAGTAGGTTTACCTGAGTTACCTTGCAAAATGTTATGGCAGATGGTGTTTATAACCATGCTGGACACAAAAATCCTAAGATATGCTCATCTCTAAGCTTAAAGAACTTAAATAGCAATTGGAGAAACAAAGTTTAAGGAACATAAAACGAATACTGGTTATGTGGTACTGACTGTGAATGCAGTAAAGGAGGTAAGGAAAAGTAAAGGCTACAGCAGTGTTTCTCAGACTTCATTGCACATTAGGGTCATTTGGAGATCTTTTAAAAAGTCTGGCCGGGCGCGGTGGCTCAAGCCTGTAATCCCAGCACTTTGGGAGGCCGAGGCGGGTGGATCACGAGGTCAAGAGATCGAGACCATCCTGGTCAACATGGTGAAACCCCGTCTCTACTAAAAATACAAAAATTAGCTGGGCATGGTGGCGCATGCCTGTAATCCCAGCTACTCAGGAGGCTGAGGCAGGAGAATTGCCCGAACCCAGGAGGCGGAGGTTGCGGTGAGCCGAGATCGCGCCATTGCACTCCAGCCTGGGTAACAAGAGCGAAACTCCGTCTCAAAAAAAAAAAGTCTGAAGCAACATCTCATACCTATTAAATCACAATTTATTGAGATGGGACACAAGCATCAGTGTTTTTTAAAGCTCACCAGTGATTCCAATGGGCAGATAAGTTTGAGAGCCACTGAGCTATAGTTATCTGAGAAGACATCAAGGAATGGGATTTGGACTGGTTCTTGAAACATAGATGGAATTTTATTAGCTAGAGAGAAGATGGAAATTTTGATGAAAATATTCCTAGTAATAATTACAGCAAATTGCCATTT